TGTAACAATATACGACTTCCACTATTACTTTACCACATAGACTCACATGAATGATTTTTTTGTTTAATTTTGTGTTTTATTGCCCGATTGTAATTTATTTTCTCTTTCAGGTTTGTCGAATTTTTAACGCAGCGGTAACATCATTATTGCCAGTGACTGTTTTTTGGTTTGTACAGAAACTGTTCCGCTGTCGGCTGCTTGCATTTCTGACATGCGCACTTGCTGCGATTGAACATCACCTCATGGTTTTTGGAACGCATACAATAGTCAACAGCTTTATATCGCCGTTGGTATTTTTAGGCTTGACTTTATGCCTACCAAGTTATAAAGCAACTCAAAATGAACAAAGACAAAGTAAAGAGCTTTTCGAAAAGGAAGCAGACGTGAACGCTAACTTTGTTTCAAAACAATCTTCAAACAAAATTGTTCATGTGGACACGGTATTGCAGAAGAAGAATCTAAGCAATGGTGATGTTTCTGTCACAGAGCAGGATGGCAGTCTGGCAAATCTTGTAACTGATGTAAATCGTCGTAGTTATACTTCGAGAAAAATAGAGAATTCAATTTTTATAAAGATGGTGGGAGGGTTTCTTCTTGGAGTCGTCTGCTACGTGAGACCAGACACTATTTTATTTTGCATTGGTGTAATCCTGCCAACATTTTATTCAAAGGTCTGTTTGGACAAACGACACTTAAAAGCCATACTTTCGTCTGTTATAGGTGGCGCTTTGGCATGTCTGCTCTGTATTGCAGACGACATATCATGGTATGGATCGGGTATAGTTTCTCCCGCGCAATGGTTCAAATTTAATATATTATCAGGAAAAGCAAGTGTATTGTTCGGGACAGAAGGTATACACGTGTATCTACAAGTGTTTAATGGAAGTGTTGCTAGTATGATCTTAAATTTGAGTGTAGTGACTGTTTTGGTCTGCAGTTGGCTGAAACGAAAAGACTGGCCATCAATACCTCGGGAATTTTGTGCAATATGTTTCTCACTGGTATTTACCATAATCGTGTACTCATTCGCAGAACATAAAGAATCGCGTTTTATACATAACACGATCGTTCTTTATCTAATTATTGTTTCATACAGCGTTCATAATTTGACAATAGTTCTTTCACATATATTTAAAACATCAACATATTCTAGTCTCGTATCATCCGGTTTTCTATTTATATTTGCAATAGCGTCGTACTATCAATTCCCATCAGTTAATTCTTCGTCGATTTCCGGATGGACATACGGAAATGCTAATGATTCTAATGACGTCAACATTTGCTTGGACTGGTTGCGACGTCAACATGACGTCACAGGTGTTCGAATCGATGCTAGTTTATATGATACGGCAGGTTTCACCACACTGAAACACGACGTGCCTTTATTAGTGAAAATACATCATGAATTTTATGTGTTTGATGCTGATAGAACAGATAGAAAGACTCCTATAAATGGCCGACTTCGCATTTTACGAGACTACAGCGATTTTATACATGAGAGCAATTCAGTTTATTTGACAAAATTCTTGTCCAGAAACACAAGATTTAACTACGTCGTCACAAAACGCGGCGCATTTTCTCTAGTCAATACAAAGTATTCTTATAAGAAGGTTTTCAGTTATGGACGATTCCACGTCTTCTATAGGAATTTCAGCTCGACAAAGGAACAAGAGATTATGATGTTATCAGAAAGGCTCCCTGTGGGTGCAAATGCAACAGTTCTTGAGTACGAATCAAATTGGTTAATCACGAACGCTATGTATCGTTTGGCAATTGAGAGAAGCAGACAGGCTATGGAAATCGATAGCTCACGTGTAAGACTGTATCAACAAATGTTCGTCTGCTACTCGAAGTTAAATGACGTAAAAGGGTTGTATTATTATCAGGAAAAATGTTTTAGTAAATTTGGAAAGGAGGCCTGCGTTAAAAAGCAAGATAAAGTCGTGATTCATGAACATTATAATAAATATGATTAGTCAAACTAAATATAAAAATGTTTGATATTCAAACAAGAATATGTTTTCCTTAAAGTATACTTAGAATACTGTGTGTTTCCATTACAGTATTTGCTCTGTGTGCCTTGGTATTATGGACAATTGGAAGAGGAAGAGGTGTTTTTCGAAATTCTTAATTAGGAAAGCGTGCTGGAACCAAATGGTGAAACCCTTTGCAACCAATACACGCACCCTTGCAGTCTGTGTAATTTATGATCACTGTTTCCCCCGAAATGGATAATGATCAGTTCTAAAATGTACGCCGGATGAGTTCATTTACGAAATTCAGGCGGGTAATGAATTTTGTCACACGATTATATTCAAGGGCCGTAACCCTTTTCTTCCTTTATTTCAGACAATCTCAATTCTTTGCATTTTGAAAAAAAACCTTTATAATTTAAGACAAAAAGCTTAAACCAATACATTTGTATTTCCCCGCAAAGTCCAGTAAACAATATTTCTTTTGATGTCCACAGTTTTAGTTAAACATTTTCTTAGAATTGTGTATATAAATGCAAAACAGGTATCTTCGTTTTAATAGAAGTAAGGCATTTGTTAATAAAATTTTTAGTAACATCGGAAAAATGACGGTTAAAGAATCAAGACATCTTCGTTAAGAATCGCTATATAATCAATCAAATTTGATTTCTACAAACCTCTCAAAAGAGTTTTTATCCCGAAACCAAGTGCCTATGATTCGGAGTACTCTTGTCTGAAGTAAATCTTTTTTCTTATTTATTGTTGTTATTGTTTACAGTGACAGTACACACGAAATTGTATAATTTGAATTCTTGAACTTTTGTTTGATATTGTAATTCAGTATCTATTCTGTATGTGTTTTACCCTTTAACCTACTGAACTCTCAGGAAGGAATTGTTATGCTTTTACTTAAAGGGACTCCACTGTAGTTATTTTTTACTTAAAGGGACTCCACTAAAGTTTGTTTTTTTTAACTTGAAGGGACTGGAAAATATTTTCCGAGATTTATGTTTCGTTGATGTAGATCTTGACCAATAATATGTGTGCAAAATTTCAGATCATTCGCTTTCTCTGATTTTTTTTCCAGAATGATTATTCTAATTGTGAAAAATGACCCAAGCTATTTTTGTGTATTATTTTATCATCTTTTGCACATCTATCGTTTGTATATATTTCATGTTGTATGTGTTGTAATCGCTGAAAAGCGGAAATAAAGAGTATATATATCTGTTTAGTGCATAATTGATATATGTGGAAAAATCAACTTAAATGTTTTTAGGCTTTTGAACTTCAGTGGAGTTCCTTTAACATTCCATTTAAGTGTAAAGTATTTAAATTTTTAAATACTAATATTGAGCTACCAACAGTATAAATGCACGGATATGTTCTATAACAAAATGGGTGGCAAAGGCTATTCTCTTTCGGTTCAAATATGTCATAGGTTAAATATATGCATACATGCATGCATAATGCAAGATAAGATGCAAAGAAAATAAAAGATAAAGTAAAAACATGTGTTTCAATCATATTTATTAATTCTCCGACTCATTTGTGCAATAAAGTAAAACATGGAATTCAATAAAGGGAATACATAAAAAGTATCCAAGTCAAAGACAAAAATAATTTAAAAACATATCGAGCCAATGGTTTGTTATATATTTCTTGTTAATTTTTCAAAATATGCACACAAAAAATTTGTTAATTTAGTTTTTAAAACTTTTTATTTTAACACTGATTGTTTTTGTGTATGTACAAGAAATATATAATCTATGGCCGAATGGATTTTGAGACAGAATCTTCCCCGCAAAGGCTGTAGACAATTTTGCCTTTTGATATTCATAGTTCTAGTTTGCCCATTGAAACAGACTGACCAGCAGTCGTATTTGTGTTGTCACGGCAACGAAAAACAAAATAAAACAATCGAAAGATTTAAACATTAAAAGCACAATCCTGAAGTTAGCCACGCCTGTTCTTTTCAAATACTGACACATTCAAAAAGATTTTTTGTTGTTGAATATTAAACGTTTTCGTAGTTTGAAAATCCGTATAAAGATAATTGCAATTTAGTTAGTTATTGACTAATTTATAGAACTCTTTGTTTCATAAGAGCCTGGAGGAGTGGACTTTTCTTTGGCTCATTGACGGGTCTGTGTGGTCTCCTCATTGGGTGGGCTCTAATTGGCTCCTCCTCTTGCACGTGCGCCATCATGTCCATCTCGTGTTCCATGGCAGCAAGACGGTCCTGGAGGAACATGTTTCTGACGGTCAACACACGTGTCTTTAGTCGTCTGCAAAATAAGAGAAAATATATATTACTTGTATAATTGTATAAATCCAACTAAAACGTAGACATACTAGTGCTAATAGTCATGTCACAAAATTTTACGTATTTATGCTAATATTTCATATCCTCAACTGTTTTAAAATTATCGTCTGCTGCAATGAACGCGGTCACCGTCTGCTGCAAATGAACGTGACTATGGTTACATTAGAATGTTTCAGTGAAATCAATATACTTACGCAGTCATAAGGTCTTCGATCATTTCCTGGAGGATTTCTTCGGGCATCTCACCGGTCATAAGTCCGTGTCTGACGGCCATGATGTGGTGGAACATTTCTTCTTCGCTCAGCTCGTCCAAGCCGGGGTGTTCCATTGCTGGCTCAGCTCCTGTGGAATTAACAAGAAAAGTTTTATAGATATTCAAAATAGATACATCTAGAGCTTTGGTGCTATCTCATATCATAATATGTCATTTTGAAAGGGACTGCATTATTTGAATTGAAAAAAATCGAAAGAAATTTTTTTTTATCAAATAAATATCTACAAATATAAACTTTATCTTCTAATGATGTCAGGAGATTATTATGAATGAGAAGACAATGTTCGAACCTTGGAGATATCTTGGCATCATTGGCATCATTGGCATGGGGATCATTCTTGGTGCGGCTTGTTCAACATTTACTTCAATGTCAAGGTTGATCGCTGAAACAATATGGTTTATAACATTTTTAATTTTGATCTCATTATTTTTCTTTAAGATCGATGTACAAAACAGGTTAGAATACTGTATTCATTATGGTATTATTTTGAAAGCGAATTTGAGTTGTTTAAAAGTCGTATAGTCAACCTGGAGTTAAAAAAGTCCCTCATCGTCGAATAAGAGTAGGAATCAAAAGCAATAACGTAGAAAAACAAAACTGAATGTGATATCTTTCTATGAAGAAACTTTTGATCTTACTCCTTAATGGAAATCAGAAAGAAAACATGTTTTCCTTAATTCGCGTTCTTGATAAGAACTATCGTATTTACTAAGAATATGAATAACACTGTACAAAACTACTTACGGATCTTTTGGTTTGGCATCATAGGTGGCATCATTGGTGGCATGGGTGGCATTGGGTGTGGTCTGGGTCTCGGGAAGAAGAAGTTCATGATCATTGGGGTCACTGTGGGGGATAAGATTAGTATACGTGTGTGTTTGTTGGATAAAATGCAATCATGGTGATTATAGTTACTGCAACAAATACGACGATGATGATGATATGATGGTGATATGATGATGATATGATGATGATCAGGGGTATTATCAAAATGATGCGTGGGGTGTCAGTATTAGTACTGCAGGATTTGATGAATAGTTAAGTGTGTACTTTTGTAATCGTCACATGAAAGGACACTGCTGAGATTGAATGCTAGTCGTCTTTTTTCTGTTATTTCATATCATGGGGACATGTGTACGTCATGTAAAATTATTGTCTAATTTTGGAAGCAGATTTAAAACATTTCCATAGGTTTGCAATAAATGAAACAGTAAACGAATGATGACAGTTATCTAGGATTTAGGATGTCATATAAATAGTAAGTTTTCTTCTAGAAAATATGGTAAGTACAAAACTGTTTTGCATATTTCTAAGATATTACATCTTTTTTTCACCGTGTTGGCAATGGTGAAATGCAAAAACTAGTAGGTAAATATCTGAAACGTTTTCGCTCACATTTTGGATGATGACATTTGAATGAGAATAAAACCATTCTTAAGTTTCAGATTAAATTGACCAAGGACCCTCGCACAGTCCATGTTTTGTAATCATCGATTCGGGTTACTGGGTATATGCATGTACTGGGCGGGATGGTGGAAAATGTTAAATGTGAAATGTACAAAAGCAGATAAATATGAAAGCTTAATATATGCATGATGATACATGATGAATAATAATGATGATAAAGAAAATAAAAAAGAGAAAATAATGAAAATATTACAAAATCTGTATGCATATACAAACCTTCAAATTTAAAAGCAAATATACAAATCAGATATTTAACATTTTTTAGAATAAATAAATTGTTACTCTGTAGTTAATTTCAGTTAATTTTTATTAACATACTATTTCAATTGTTTGTATATACATACAGGTTAGTTTTACAAAAATAACATAAAGTAATAAATAATCATTATTTATCATACACAATTTTAAATAATATTTATAATAATTTAAGGTCAGCACTTTTTTTCGAGTCTATATAATTGTTTCTATTTTTTTTAAAAAGCATAAATATCGGCTTGGCTATATACATGTACAACACTGATTTTTTTCTTCAAAAACATTCTAGAATACAGTCGTTTCCTTTGGCATGCTGTTATAGTCTTTTTGTGTTTTAAATATATACAAAATGATTGTTTATATTATCTAAATGTAGAAATTTACAGATAACTGCTATATTTGGTATTAAATGAGAATTTATTATGTCGTCTGCTTTTACAGCTCTGTATGCATCGTGTTGAATTTACCTGATTTCATCATCTGTTTCATGACTTTGTGCATGACGAATTTCTTCATGGCTCCGAAATCGTCTGGAAAACAAATGGTAAAAATATATGAACATTTTATACAACTGTTTTTTTAGTATTGTTTATAATGCATTGTCCATCCCAATCAAGCATTCCAATTAGCGTTTTGTTCTCATTTACGATACAATTTTAACAGCAACATGTTTAGATAAAATTTAATCAATTTAATTTCAAAGTGCTATTTCTATACAAGAATTAATCTGCATTAACATGTAAAAAAGGAGAGAGAGAAAAAAGAAAACGCAAAGTTCACTTACTGATTGGAATGCCCATCTCCTGGAGTTTATTCATGGCAGCTCTGTGGATCGAACCTGTCTTGAAAGCATCAGCCTTAATACCGACGATTTCGTTCAAGTGTTTGGTCAACACCTTGTCCATTTCTTGCATGAGTTGTTCTGGTGTGCTGTCTGTCAACGAGATAAATATAGATTTGTAAACATTCTGTTAAACTTAACAAAAATAATTTCCATTATTTTGTTTACCGGTATGCTGTTTCTTGAATGTAAACTTATATTGCACTTATTCATTATCCCTCATGCAAACCGAGTCTGCAATTTTCATGTAATTTTGTTGTGATTGATGCTTCCGAGGGATCACTTTGTTTCCTGATTTTAATAACAGTGGAATAAGATTTACAACCAATTATACTCATAATGATTTTGACAATATCTATAAATATGTTATTGATTTTTAAAGAAAAGGAAAATCTACGGAAAAGTGACAACATATTTAGATGAAAGTTTTAGCCGATCTCTCGGGACTGTCTCTTCATCACCTCTACCATTTTTTTCGCAGTTTAAATAAACACATTACGAGTGTATAATGTGAAAGTTGTGTACAGTAACACTTACCCTTGGATACGGATGCTCCCAGCTTGCTGGCCTCTTCTGTGAGCTGTTCAATTATTCTGTCCTTGACAACGGTAGGGTTTTCATCCTCGTTGATGCCGAGCATACGGAAAGCCTTCTTCATCATAACCTGTGACAATACTTCTGGGTCCTCTGTTATAATAAAGTATGTGTTTAGTATATACTCATTAATATATATACAAATTATATACAACAATAAGCAAAGAATGAAAAATCCCAATAAAATATGTTGTTTTTCAGAAACGTGAAGCAATTCGAGTTATATTAAAGGCATTATGAATGTGTTCAGAAATAATAACAACCAACTCTTGATAATAAAGTAAGGTATAAATCCAAATGTCAATGCAAGGTATGTAAGATGGGAAGTAAGTACAGTTTTCATGGTAATGTAAATGATTTTTTTCTAATAGGAGAAACAATGTACATTGAAAATTCGCGGTAAATCAAGCCAGAAATTGTAGAAATTTTATTTATTTAACTGCGACATAAGAGGCCTTCCATATATAAATAATTACTGATGACTTACTGAGCTCCTCAATATCCTTGATTCCTACGAGTCCAGCTTGGTCCAAAAGCCATTCCTTGACCTTGGTCTTATCCTCTGTAAAAGTATAGATATAAAACGTTAATATGACGTTTGGGTATTGAAAAAAATACAGATATAACTTGTAGATAGAACGACGAATGAACTAAAAATACAATGTACAAATAAAAGGAAAGTACAACTGCATAATGGACTCGTATAGGAAAAAAAGAAAATGTTCCTTATTTTAATATACATTTTTTGTCGAGGTAAGTTAGTTTATTCATAGACCTAAAAATAGAAAGAATATGCAGGAAAATGACAACAACGTTACCTGGGAATCCCATAGCTTCAAGCTGTCCGTGAACCATGTTCAAGATAGAGGTGACATCAACACCTGGTGGGAGGGGAAGGCTCTTAAGTTTCTCGTGCACAAAGTTCAAGAACTCCATTGGATCATCAACTGAAGAAAAAATATCAATAAAATTATGAAAAATCAATTTTATATGCTATTTTTATTTACATGGAACGAATGTTATTTTCAGTCACGAACAATATAATTACATTACATCTGATGAACTCCACTATATTACTTTATTTAAAACGTTATATAAACTAGCGAAAACTACTGTCAAAACACTACATTTTTCTTGTTTGAGGCTAAATTATTACATTGTCAAGTAACAAACGATCTATATGGATCAAGATATTTTGACAAAGAATATGTGCATGTATTTATCTAGATGTAAAACAAATGTGTTTGAATGAATTATCACCTGGCATGCCCTTGCTCTCGAGGTATTCCCAGGCAAGATCCCTCATGTCGAGGAGAGAATCGAGGTTCATCACATCCTTCAATGAACTGAAGTCAAAGTTCTTTACCATATCCTTCATTGCGCCGAAGTCCATGTTCTTCACCATACCTGGAAATACGTGATTGCAAAACTTTGTAAATGATATTCAATGATTTAAGATATGGATGAAAACATTTTGTTGTTGTTTTTTCAATTTCTGATTCTCTATTAAACCTATTAAATTAAGACTAGCATGTATAACTTCATAAAAGTTCAGTTACAAGTCGTTAAATACACAACGAGTTTAAAATGAAATGTTACTTGAAACTTTGTAAATCTGAATATTTATTAATTACCTGTAATTGCACCAACATCAATTTTGCTCATGAGTGAACCAATATCCATGTTCTTCATGAGTCCGGAAATAGCTCCCACATCCATGTTCTTCATGAGTCCAGAAATAGCTCCCATATCCATGTTCTTCATGAGTCCAGAAATAGCTCCCATATCCATGTTCTTCATGAGTCCGGAAATAGCTCCCATATCCATATTCTTCATGAGTCCGGAAATAGCTCCCATATCCATGTTCTTCATGATTCCTCCAATGTCGACATTTTTCACGATATCTCCCATTGCACCGAGATCCATGTTTTGCATCATTGATCCGATATCTACGTTCTTCATGATATCACCCATAGCTCCCATGTCCATATTCTTCATGATTCCTTCAATGTCGACGTTCTTTGCGATGTCGCCAATGGCGCCGAGATCCATGTTTTTCATCATACCGCTGATATCCATATTCTTTGCCATGTTTCCAATTGATCCCAGGTCAATGTTCTTCATCATACCTCCGATGTCCATATTTTTCATCATATCGCCCATGCTTCCAAGATCCATGTTCTTCATTATTCCGTCAATATCGACATTCTTTACAATATCACCCATAGCACCGAGATCCATATTTTTCATGAGACCACCGATGTCGACATTTTTCATGATATCACCCATGGCGCCAAGATCCATATTCTTCATGATACTGTTGACGTCGACGTTCTTCATAATATCTCCCATTGAGCCGAGGTCCATGTTTTGCATCATGCTTCCGATGTCGACATTTTTCATGATATCACCCATGGCGCCAAGATCCATGTTCTTCATCATTCCTTCGATGTCCATTCCTAAAAGAAAATGAAAGAATGCAAAGATGATTCGCAAAGGTAGAATGAGATGGTGTCCTGGTCAAATATATCCCTTCCGTAAGAACCTCTATCATTGTTTTTTCTATGGTTTATTTATTTCTCTTTTATCATTATTGTTATTACTGATGTAAATAAATACACAATTGTGTCTGTTTTGAAAGGGCATATGAAAATTTTTCTTTTAAACCTTTTTGCCGTTATATTTTATCTTTTTGAAATGAACATTTTTATTATAACCATTCAAATAAAATTACTATGTGCTGTCATGTACTCAAACATGGGGTCTATTTGAAGGCATCATTTTTATCCTTTTTTTTACGGTTCAGGAAACATTCTTTAAATTATAAACTTTTATTAACACCTTAATGACAATTTGTAGATCCATGTAATGACTCGAGCTATTTTCGTACATTCTTATTCGAATAGTTATTGTACGCAACTCGGTAAACACTCGGAAAATATTGGAATCGGACGAAAATCGCCAAATATAATTTCTTATCCATTTAATATGATGCCGTAAGACTGAACAATTTTCGTTCTATAGAAACATACCTTTCATCATGTTGCCAATGGAACCGAGGTCCATGTTTTTCAGGAGGTCGTTCATGTCAAGACCACCGGCTGCTGGGGCCTCGGTGTTTCCGGATGGTACTTTAAATGTACCATCGTTAGATGCACCGGCTAAAAATAGAATTGAATATGATGGTATGTTTTTACTCAGTTCATTTTTTTTGTATGTTTTCGTCAAGTATTTAGTCATAAATCTTGCTTATCTTGAGTGCAGGTATCGGTATTTCTATGTTATGTAAAAAAAGAATTATACGTGCGTCAATTTTAAACTTTTCTGGTAAACAGGTAAATGTTATTTCTATTTCTGGAACAACTTTCTCTAAGTCGGTATATGTCTGAAATGAAGCATCTCAGATTTCAAAATGCTGGTGTCTGTCTTAACTGTAATTTGAGGTATTGATCATTTTCAAAGGCCAGGATTGATAGACATATTCAAATAATATATGATTTAAAATTGCATTCGTATGCGTTTAAAAGTTATTGTTAGTACGTTATCGTCAACATTTCATTCGTAGAATCAGAACGTTCAACAATGTCGTGCACAACGACATCAAACATCCTTGACCTTTTGTGGAACACCGTTGCACCATGCTTATTACCAAATACATAATATAATTTTGAGCATGCCATGTCCATAAGTAGTAAATAATTACTCGTAATTTGAATTACATACGGATGGAATAGATACTAATTCAACAATAACTTACATTTGGCATTAAGTAATTTGCATGTATTTTAAAGCAATAAGCAAGGTGTACCGGCTTTCAACAATAAGTCCAAACATGTAAGTGTTTGTATTATTTGAATGCGATTTATTTTGGATAACTGTCTTGATTAGAATTTTTTTATATGTATATGAGTAAAAAGTCTTATAATTTTATAAATATGAAACTATGAAAAGTATTTCTCTACCAAACAAACAAAATGATTTTTTTTGAACTTTTAAATGGTAATAAATCTTAAATAAAACGCATTCAGACTTAGTAACTATGACTGGCTTCAACGAAAAACTATTGTAATATGTATACATAAAGAATACAAATAATAGTTTTTGCGTTGAATCATCAACAAAACTTAAAACAACTCTTTATTCAGCTCCTTCATCATTTGGGCCAAGCATGGACCTACAAAGACACAAAATCCGATTAGTTCTACAATATTTTATTGAATAAATACTATTTTATAAATAAATTCACAGGAAATTAGATAAATTTAAAGCTCAAACTTCGGGCCACCATTGCCTGCCTTGCCCTTCTTCTTGGCTGAAATAAAAGATATTATTTAGATCCTTTTGTTGTAGCGGAGCCATTTGGATACAGCAGTGACATCTTAACGGGCGTACAAAGGCTATTGATACGTTATCTTCCTGTAGAACGGGCTCATTTAAAGCATACACTTTTCAATAAAAGTAGTAAATATATTAACTTGGACTTCATCTGGAATATTTATTTGACCCATGCTAGTAAGAAGGTACTTATACCAAAGTATTATACATATTGGACGCAGCAATTTTTAATACCGTGCATTAATCTAACAGCTACCATCATGTAATGTCTATTGAAACTTACCATTCTTTTCAAAATATTCCTTGAGTTTCTCTGGTGGGTTGTTCAATGCATCTTCAACATCATCAAGCTGCATACCAAATGCTGACAAAGTAAACAATAAATAAATTTATAAGTTTGTTTAGGAATGCTGTGAAAAATGTATTCGATATATGCGTAAGGACTTACCAAAATAATTGTCCGTATAATTTTCACATAAGCTTATTCGATGATACTTTGGTACCGTTACTACACGAATAGTAATATTTAGTGTCATATTTGTATTTATTGTTTTATTGATGACGAATATCATTTAACTGGTTCGTGCTATTTGCTTTACATTCTTTATACAAAAATATCTTAAACTGTATTTTGCAAAATAGAAAAGGAACTGCGACATAATTCAGATCTGTAACAAAATCATATGAATTATTATTTCAAACTTACATTGTGCCATCTCGTTGAGTCTGTCTTTCATTGAAGGGGGCATGTTGTAAAAGGCGTCTTTGAGATCTTCAAGTTTCATTCCTGCGGGAATTTCGGGTATCTTACCCCCAGCCAAGTTGTTCAATTTGTTTAAGTCTGGCATGTTTGGGATGGATGGACCTGAAGGAGATATAGATCAATTAGTAAATTAGATATACAAAACATTTTTTATGACCATCGTGTTTTTCATAATTAAATCCCTAGAGTTTGTGCAGCTTGTAAGACACCAAAAAACAAACAACGCAATGTGTAAGTTGTTAATGGGCTTTAATATTAAGCCGATAAATGGATAACATTTTACATCTAGAAGTTTTTCATGTCTTAACTGGGGAACCAATTCGCCTTTTAGTAGAACTTAATGGCATTCTATTAAATCATATAAGGACCTACTCGTAACCCAAGACAACTCCAGTTTTAGTAGAACGTAGTGGCATTCTGTTTTCGTAAAGTATTTGATATTCAAATTGTTATTGAACAAAACAATATATGATTTTCTGGTTTCTTTGCGGAACTTTTTCCAAACATATTTTCATGTAAATTTAACATTTTAAACGGTTTATCTATTTATGACAATTTTTCTATTTAATTTTAATTGTTGAAATTATTTCTGCCCATGGCGTATATAAATTACAAAGCTAGAATCAATTTAATTGGACAGACCGAACTATTCCCGTCACTCAAATACACGGAAATAAGTTCAACTTCCGATTTAAACACACAACCCCCGGGCATTTTCAAAAAGTGTATTGCTTTCCATGAATAATGTTTCAGCTAGACGTTTTACAAAACCACCAAAATATAAAAACAAAAACAAAATTAAAAGCCGTCAAGTAAAACTCAAAATTGTTAGCGAGATTCACCGTCATGACATTGTTCTTTGATTGAGCGAAATATTAATATAACGCTAATTAGAAACAGGTTGAAGTGAAACTGCATAACAAGACGTAGTTGCTTGAAAGCAACCAATGTCAGTCAAAATGTCAATAAAGATAGCAGGTTCATCGTTAAAAACTTAGGATGGAGTTCTTAGTTTAATACCAGATTATGTACGCTATCTTTATTTAGTGAAAATATTGTTTGTCTAAATTTCTATAAGGTTTCAAGTATTCTTAAAGCGAATGACATAGTAATTTATTTCGCGATGTCATATAATTGTACAAGTTGCGTGCAGAGATATTTTTGCGCTATGAGTGATGATAAACTTTTCCCGCAATCTAAACGTTTCTTACAGATTATTTGCAACTAAATTTGCATTTAAACACAATTTTCAAGACTATCATCCTTTGCATACTAGTATATTATTCTACATCATTATTCTTAGTTTAATTAGAAATATCATGTACTGGTAAATTAAATGTGTACATTAAAACCACAGCACATTAAAACAAGCAATACCCACACGCAATTTTCTAATTGAGCGGTAATAAGGTTTTGCTTAGAAGTCAAAAGAAAATGGCTTTATTTTTAGAATTTGATTATAATGATTATAAAATAAGTGACTCACCATCTCTGTGATCGGCCAAGGCCGCGGAGACAAGAGCTCCGAGTATAAATACAGCTACCTTCATATCTAAAAGAAAAAAAATAACCAATCATTAACATAGTATATAGTTTATCTTCCTTAAAAGATATATCTTCATTCATTTTTTTTCTTCATTTTGACCTTAAAAGCATTTAACTTTCGAACACAGTCAGAAAGCAAATTTATGTATTTCACAAGTATGCTTGCGACGCAAAGCATAATTATGATGTTCGAAATAATCATCTTAGATACCACAAAGAGAAAACTTCCTTCCTGCATTATTTATTGATTAACACTTCTTTTTTTTAAAAAGTAAGTAATTCCGATTTTTTTTTAAAATAAACAATATCCAGATTGTTGTTTTTTTCTCTCTCACATTAATGTCCACTTCATTTTATTTCCCTTAAGAAAGAAATTAGAAGAGTGTTTACGAAAAAAAAACTACTTTTTTTGCAAAACTTAACCAAACAATAAACAAAACACTTTCTTTTATTTTTTCAGTTCAGAAATTAAATATATATAAAAGAAATTAAATCGTTTAATTACTTGTTTTCAAATACAGTTTATTTGATAAATTCTCAGTTGAAACTTACCTTTAGAAATCCTTTTCGTGTATGTGCCGACCATAGCTTGAACTTAGCAGATATATATAGCAAAAGCCCGCGGCCTCTTAATTCATCTCTACTTCCGAGACATGTCAAAATTTCATCAAAAATCTTCAACTTTGAAAGAAAATATACGTGGCTCAAAATGTATCGATTAAAACCCGTGGATGGGCAGTTTGTTGGACCAGGTAATTACGTAAGGTACTTGAAGGCCACATCATTATTTCCTGGTTCTCTCATTTGCATTATTGTTTCATAAGCCCCCCTTTTCAGTCTGCGTGCAACAGTTTGAACTTAAAATAAATCGTCTTTTTTGCAGTAAGACTATATGAAAAAGGCAGGTTTCTCTACACAATATCCTTACTGCGAACATAATAAAACAACAAAGCATTTTAATCATTTAAGAGTTCCAAAGATTTAGACTAAAATATCCGGATCCCTAGCATACAAATGTATACTGAATGCTCGCTAAATCGCCATCTTTTCACTTGTTCCCGCTTATCATTGTTCAAATAACAAAAAATGTATTTAATATATTTCAGATTTCTTACTGCTTTTGAAAAGTAAAATAAAAAAAAATATACGCATTTGCGTTACTTTATTCTTATTCTTTTGTTTTTTTTCATAATTATCTCAGTCACAAAGTTATTTAGATGCAGGTAAAGGTAGATTCAATTGTTAATAAAATAACAAAACCTAAAGAAAAGTAAGGTATATGAATCATTTATTGATTTCATAAGTTATATTGAAATGGAATTTGGTTTAAAGATGTTGAATCAGGTGTACCCCACAAAGTTAAAACAATGTTTCATAGTATATGTACATATATAATGGTGTGAAATCTTGTGCAAGAGCAAATTGTTGCCTGCCAGATTATTTCGTGATTGAGATGGGGCTAAAACAAGGGGAGTCACTTTCATCTCTATTATTTATTGTCTTAAAATGATATGCACGAAAATGTACAAATCCACTATGTCAATGATGATCTTCAAATATTTTCACTATTGTTTGCCGCCTATACACTTTTATATTCTAATTTCTTAGAAATGCTTACGCTTCCTTCTGTATACCTATTGTACTAAATAGGGTATCGTGGATTCGTTATCTGGAAATAGAAATGAAATTGTAAAAAGTATATTAGAATAATTGGCTACCTAATGTTGTTCAGTCATTCACTTATCTTTGAGTTGCATTATCGTTTAATGCAATTTTTGAAGACCAAAAGGATATCAATCATACACTTAAAACAATGTACATTGTACTCAATACGTTCTTTATTTGATTTTATTGCTCTAAATGATACAGAAAATATTTAAAATGGAAACTTTGTATCATTTGTTATTAGTATGTCCATATTATAATGACTTAAGAAAAATATGATTACCTCGATGTTATTGTTCATGGTCTAAAATAAATAAATTCATTATTTAGCGATGCACCTAAGAATTGAACTTGACTTGATAAATATTGTTTTTAATATTGAACATTTGTATATACAATGAGAAAAATGCAAATAACAGTAGAATCCCTCTTTAAGACCACCCCGGAATTAAGACCACCCCGCTATTAAGACCATTTTTTAAAAGAACGGAATTTTCTGTTCTTTATATCAATAGTGATATGATCCAGAATTAAGACCACCTCGCTTATCTAAATTTAAGACCACCAGATTCAGTTCCAATTCATTGTTTTATGCTTTATTTGACCCCACTATTGAGACCACTTATGTTAAAGTCAGCACCTACCAGGATCACAAATTTGTTGTCATTATCTGCTTGCATGACACTTGATTTCACAAGGTGTGAAAAACTGTTGTTATTGGGTTATTGTATGAAATAAGGTGGGAAAGTAAATTTTAGAGTGGTTTAATGAAGAATAAATATCTTATTTGATAGGTGAAGTATGTACATCATATAATAATTAATATTGAAATCAGACGAAAGAGAATTTTATGCTAAAATTCTTCAGAAATATATCTAGTAAATATTATAACATACTTTTATATTGTTAAGATACATTTTGTTTGTTCATGTAACATGTACTGATTAAAAAAGACCGTGGTCATAAAGTATGTAAGCAATAAGAATATTCACATTTAAGACCACCCCGCAATTAAGACCACTTTGGGCCAGTCCCAATGGTGGTCTTAATTGAGGGTTTTCACTGTATACTGTATTTATCACATTTTTCTGTATTTTGTAAATACATGTATTGCACGGCCAAAATTTTACTTAGCGATGAACATGTATTTTTTGCCAATACACTATTTGACTTTTGACTTGGGTTGATTTGATTATCACTATGGTACATGTTAATACATTCTTAGTTATGTTAAGTAAATTTTATTACAAACTGGAGACATAAAAGATCTCTAAATACAAATGTAGATAAAACAAACATCGAATCTGTAAGTATTAAATTGTATGCACTGGCAACATCAATCGGTCTAGAAGTTTGTTAAAGCATATTTTGTAGATGAACTTGTAAAAAAAACTCCATATTCGAAGAAAAATAAATTGATTAAAGGTACTGGTATATAACGCAGTATCAAATTATATGAAGGTTTAGAGGGACTCCAATGTCGTTTTTCGACATGACGGGACTAGAACTTTCTTTCAGTTTAATGTTCCATTTGATATAGGTCTAGACCAATAAATTGTGTGCAAAATTTCAGATCATTCGCGCACTCCGTTCAAATTGTGAAAAATGACCCTGAAACCCTTTTCACTCACTTGGGCTAAGAATATGTTCTTTTTATTTATAAGAATATTTCTTAATTAACTTTTGCATATCTTTCTGTTTTATGTGCCACAGCCGATTTATGTAAGATATTCAAATTTTATGTTTTAGGCTTTTGGACATCAGGTGAATTCTTTTAAAAGACGTTCATTTTTGAATGCGGTATTAAATGGACAAAGTTTTATTGACTAATTCTACCGAGAGGAACAATTTTGTTATTCCAGCAGAAGCATTATAGCTGTCCCTGTTATCAATCAGTAAGGATACTAATTATTAGTAAATGTTATGTTATACAACGTACTAGTAACTTGGTCAATCAATTTGGCCACAAATTGTGAGTTGGCTACAACGGTGTGGGGAAGATACATCACATAGGACTCAAACTCGCTATAATTCATAGCAAGCTACATAAAATCATTTGATTTGACGCAAATATCTAAGTTTACAGGTTTACATATTTCCTATTCAATATATACGTTTATCTTAAAATTACCCAAACACCACCGCCGTAACAAACATAATGGGCCTTCACTGAGTTTTTTTTTAACATGAATGGGCTGGAAATATTTTTCCAATTTTTGAACCATTTGACAGTATGGGTTAATAACTGGCATGCAAAATCTCGTATCATTTCCTCAGAACATTCATTTTATTTAGCGACATGACCCCAGAGTGAAAAGCGATCAAACGCTTTTGACTCGAATCGGGCATAACATCGGCACAAAAAATTCTATTTCCATTGTAATTTAGAGTATATTTCATGATTGTGTTTCCGGTTGATCTAGGTCAGTGGAGATCTGCAAAAGATCATACGATGCCTTCATCATCAGACAAGTTCGATCCTTGCACAAAATGAAATCATTACTTCGTGTCTTCGTCATTATATATTATATCCTTATCTTATTTACACGACAGACTGGGGCGTGTAACTGGGAAAGCAAATCTACAAAATCTACTTGTATTGGTAACAAATGAAGACAGAATATTTATTTTATTTTTCCAACTGTTTCCAGGAAATGAAAATTTTGTGAACGGACAGAATGACAAAACACTTAGTAAATGATCACGGAAAGGGGACAAAATATATGATCAAGGGACAGATAACGGGTGATCAACGTTTGATGTAAGGAAATATTGTTTTATCCTCCGGGCAATAAAAATTTGTATCAAAATAACAACAAAACACCTCTATAAACTGCACATTTTAATCAATTTTTCAAAGCACTGTCAAATGATAATAATAAATGGACATTTAACAAGGAAATGAAAGGGAAAAAAATAATTTAATGCTTGCAAGAATCAATCTGACAAAATTAATGATCAAGGAAAAATGACAAGTGAAGTAAAATTACATAATAAACCAGTATAATATTGTATTTATTCAAAAATGTTAAATCTGAAATTAAATTCACGGGTTGGTTATCATTCATGATCCCAATATATTATATTTTGTATAAGTCTTTGATGCAAAGACACTTTTTTCAGGGTTGTAAGCTTGTGTTAGTTTTATTTTCCACACAACAATTAATCAAGTTATTGGTATATGTTCTTCAATGATAAGACTCATATACAGTTATATATATGTATATATTCAGAATTCTTATCAAACTTCAGAATTCTATTTTTTTCTGCACGACATCAAATCTTCCTTAAACCTGATAGAATCTTCCTTACATTCTACAACCAAGAAGGTGTAGGAAAATAAATTTCTACCAGGAGAAAATCAATCAAGAGCCATTGCATTGTAGAGCTTACTGCATTTTAAGTTCACCTTGAACTGTAATTTACAGCAGTGTAAACTCACCTTCTTCACAAATTACAGTTCAGATATGGTATTAACAATGATGATTATTTAATCAGAGTCAACTTACTGCATTCTACTACACCTTACACGGTAATTTACAGGAGTGAAAACTCATCTACTTCCACAAAATGACAAGTCATGACACTGAAAGCCAGGGCCAAACTTACTGCATATTGTAAGTACACCTAACACTGTAATTTACAGCAGTGTAAACTCACCTACTTTCTCAAACTGAGAGTGATGACATGACACTAAAACTCTGAGAGCCAACTCTTCTAACGTTGTAATTTTCAGGAGTATAAGCTCACCTTCTTACCATTAGAGAGGGATACTAATCTAGCAATAATTGTTGTCGACAATTTGACACTAAAATGTTACTCTTTTCTCTGTTTAGTTAGATGGTACAAAAAATTCAAGTATAGATACAACTTTTCTTTCCATGGGAGAAAAAATTTGAAATGATTATGTTTTTAAAAACACTAAAGCTGCCAAAAAAGAAAACTTGTGACAAATGAACAT